ATGGTTGGGCTTCCTCTGCTGAGGTTCCCATTGCCTTATTCCCCCCGATATAGCTCCTACACATGGATACAGCTGCAAGCAGACAGGATTTTTTCTGGATGGCTTAACCTCAAACTTTTGATGAGTGTTCTTGCAAAGGTGGCCACCAAAACCCTACAGCCGTAGCCTGTCACTTTGGAAAATGTTGGCTGTTCTGAGCTTAAACAGATGAGTTACATAAGTTGGCTGTTATGAACTTATACAGGTGGATTAGAGGCGAAGGCTAGTGACCACAGGGACTCCCTGCAGACCACCATTAAACCAAGCATGTCCCAACCAATCAGCACTGGGTGGGGATGGAAGAGACTAGGAAATCTTGAGAGGCATCTGAAAAATAGGATGCAACAGCCCAGGATGCTTTTTTTAAGTCCAAAATTTGCACTGCCACGTCCTCCACAGGTACCAGGCACCTTCACTGGAAGGGGCTGCAGGATATGCCCTGATGGCCACATTACCTGCCTGACCTCAAACACAGTGCCAGGGGGCTTATGGCCCCATCAACCTTCTCCAGGCTGTACCCACTTAGGGTGTGTGATGGGTGCAGACAACAGAAAACCCTCTCACTTCTTGAAAAATAAGGGAGAGGGTTTGTGCTCAACAGTCACAAAATCTGTCCTTGAACGCTTTCTTTTCCCAGGGTGGGACAGGGAGCAGCTCTCAAATGGAGGCTGGCTGCTGAAAATGTCGGCATGACTCCCAGCCAAAATGCCAGCCAGCACCACCTCCGGGGCTGAAAACAAGGGAGGCACGGGAAGAAGGGAAGGAAGGCTTGGTAGGGAGGAGCAAGGGGCCCTGATGGAGGGATCTTTGCATGAAGAGGGTGGCAATACCCAGAGAATTGGTTCATACCCACAAAATCTAGGGCCATGGACATGTAGGACGGGTGCTTTCTGCTCCCAGCCAGCCCTTGCCTTGCATCAGCCCCAGTGCCCAAGCCCATCACGGCACTGACTCATTGGCAGCTGAGCCCCAGCCAGGGTCAGGTCTCTGGCTGCTGAGCCAGGCGCCTGGCACACGGAGCAGTGCAATGCCAGGCGGCAGAAGTGGAGGCTGTGAGAGGCCAGCAGGAAGGTTTCAGCCCTTCTTTCTCCTCCCAGAGCGTGGCGCTGGATGCTTGCCCCTCTCCCCTCGGCTCAGGGGTGAGCATTTGGTGTCGGGCTTGGATAAGCCCCATGAAGGGCTTTGCTCTGTGATCCGTAACTTCTCTGCCCGTGCGAGATTCCTTTGCATTATGGCCCAGAGAGCGTGGGGGGCAGGAGGGGGAGGGCAGGAAGCAAGTGAAATCCAAATCCCCCCAAATCTCCTGGCCTTTGCCTGCTCGCACCAGTTTCACTTTGCTAAAGCCGATTTGAATTCTGATCCCAGTGGGAGGGAGGAGAGAGCAGGCAGCCTTGGAGAGAAGGCAAAGATGTGGACTTGCCTCTGTCCTGCTGGTGGCACAACTCATGGGCTGTTGTCAAGGGGAGCAGAGGTGAGGCACTATAGCACAGCTCAGAGGGCAGAGATCTGACATCTGTGTAGCCTCCAATGGTTCTGTTTCACACCATCCACAAGACAGATCTCGGAGGCTGAATTTAGCAGATTTTGTCTCTCTCTATTCTCCATATCCCACGTTCTCCAAGGATGAAGATTTTGCCAAGCCAAGGTGGCCCCCAGTCCACAAGACCTACAAGGGTTGACCCTTGGAGGGCCATCTGGAGCAGCACAGGCTGAGGGATTAGAGCCCTCTGGGACTTTGTGAGCATGGTATACAGTGGCGGGAGGGAGACAGGAAAGCTGGTGTTGGATTCATGGTGGCTCAGTTGCTTTAATCTCCAGGATTAAGGCAGTGGAGGAATGTGGTGTGTGGCCACAACCTGCTCAGGCTGACTGGAGTGAACCCAGGTCAGCACCATGCCACACACCTCTCGTCTACCAGCTGAGGGGATGCACAAGGAGTAGGGGGAAAGGGGTGTTTAGGGACAAACCTATTACTTGCTGGTGACCCTTTTGATCACCCACCAGATTTACCTGTGTATTCTTTGAGCCATGCCTCCTCTTCATCTTCAGTTTTTCAGGTCAGTTCTGTCCTTTATATCTTCCCCAGAGCCTACAGCTAAGCAATATTGGTGATATTATAGTGCTAAACGCTTAGGGGGCACCAAGGTGCTGGCAGTCCCATCCCCATGTAGTTCTTTTCCTGGGGAGAAAAAGGTGGGGACATTTTATAAATGGAATATTTTTTTTTTCTGTTTGTGAGCCCTGCCATTCATAATGGCTGTTTTGAGTTCTCAGTCATGAGAAGACTGGTCCCTTCTAAGAGCACTGGTTTTTGGTTGGAGGCAGGATGATCTTGAGTCACAAGAATATGAGGAGGAAAATCATAACATGAAATTGAAGTGCTTCCAGCTGAAATGCTGCAAAAGGCTTGAGAAATGGGTTTGATCTTATCTTCAAATGCTCTGAGGCATCCTGCCTGTGCATTTCACCACTTCCTGAGAGAGCCTTAACTAGAGCAGCCCATGATCTGGCAGGAATACAGACAAGGAGCTTACATTTCTGCAGTGCCTTTCATCCAGAGACCAAGGCTCATCCACATCTACCTCTACAAAGCCAGCAAAACGGCAGCTACATTTTTTACAACTGCTTGGTCAAGCTCAAGGAAGGCTGGTCCTTTTGCTTCAGCCTTTTGCATTATCCATGTCTGAGGTGAGCAGAAGCTCCAGGAATAGTAGAATGCACTGTTTCTGCCCCTTCCAAATTTTCTTTAATTCCCTTTTAGATATTACAAGTTGACTAAAGGTTGTTTTACATGGTTATTGTGGAGCCAATATCAATTGTTGCCATTAGTTCTCCATACAGCCTCAAACTAGGAGCAGAGCCTATAGAAAGGGGGAGGTTAACCTGGAACAGATACAACCTGGGGAAGAGCAAGAGATACGGGGCAGGCAGTGCTATAGGTAGTATACTACCTTTGTCCAAAGGAGAATTTCAACCGCCCCCGATTTGCCTGAAGTTTTTAAAAGCAGCTCGTCCAACCTTATTTAACACAACTACAAAAGGCTGCACTTCGCACTTTGGCAATGGAAGAGAGGGCAAGTTGAACTTACTGAAGTGAGAAGCATCACACAGGCTGGGAAGGACCCAGCACTGGCACCAACCAGTGGCAGGGCTTAACGACTAAGGAGAAGAAGGAAAGCATTGCTATCTCCGTGGAAACACTCCAAGTTCTTCCTATCATTCCGGGAAGTACCCTCCATGGGGCAACATCCCGCCATTTGGATTTACACACCCTGTCCCACAATACTGAGCGTCAGGGTTTTTTTCTGATGGACCTGCCTCACTCCTTCCCCTCTTCTCTTTACCACCTTGGTCTCTGCAGGTTGTTGAACGAAAGCGACAAGCGGCCCTTTATCGAAGAGGCGGAGCGGTTGAGGATGCAGCACAAGAAGGACCATCCTGATTACAAGTACCAGCCCCGCCGGCGGAAAAACGGCAAGGCCACACAGGGCGAGGGTGAAGGCCAGGTAGAGGGGGATGCTGGTGGGGCTGCTGCCATCCAGGCCCACTACAAGAGCGCCCACCTGGATCACAGGCATCCCGGAGAAGGGTCGCCCATGTCCGACGGTCATCCAGAACACTCCTCAGGTGAGTCTTGGGTCTCAGTGAATCTCTTGACAGACTACATCCAAGTCAGAGGTTCAAAAAAGAAAAGTCATTATGGTGAAAGCCTTAGTGATAGGGCTCACACCTTACTCATGACCCAGCAGATTGCTGGTGTCAGCAGTACAGGGACATGCCTGAGTTTCAGAGGCACTTGTGTTCCTCTAGTCAGGCAAGGTATCATTGCATCCTCCCTTTTTTCCACAAGATGATACAAAGAGATTTGGTTTTGGCCTTTTCTTTCTCTCTCCACCAAACCCTCCAGCTAGACAGCTGCTGGCATACTGGGAAGAACAGAGCTGGGTTGTATATAGAGCCAGTCATAAAGCTGGAATTCACCTCTTCTCTCTTTTTCCTCCGCAAAACATTCTTCACATTGCAGGTCAGAGCCATGGGCCCCCCACACCTCCTACCACCCCTAAGACCGAGATGCAGGCAGGCAAAGCCGATTCCAAACGAGAAGGGCGTTCGCTGGGGGAAGGAGGAAAGCCACACATTGACTTTGGCAATGTGGACATTGGGGAGATCAGTCACGAGGTGATGTCCAACATGGAGACCTTTGATGTCAATGAATTCGACCAATACCTGCCGCCCAACGGACACGCCGGCCACCCAGGCCACGTCGGAGGCTATGCGGCAGCGGCCGCTGCTGGCTATGGGCTCGGGAGCGCCCTGGCTGCAGCCAGCGGACACTCTGCCTGGATCTCCAAGCAGCATGGAGTCTCCTTGTCCACTGCCACCTCATCGGTGGTGGACTCAAAGGCCCAGGTGAAAACGGAGGGGTCCACCCCTGGAAGCCATTATACTGACCAGCCCTCCACCTCCCAGATTGCCTACACATCCTTGAGTCTGCCCCACTACGGCTCGGCCTTCCCCTCCATCTCCAGGCCACAGTTTGACTACCCGGACCACCAGCCCTCGGGACCCTACTACAGCCATTCCACCCAAGCCTCTGGCCTCTACTCTGCCTTCTCCTATATGGGACCTTCCCAACGTCCCCTTTACACTGCCATCTCTGACCCTGCACCCTCCGTGCCACAGTCTCATAGCCCCACACACTGGGAACAGCCCGTGTACACAACTCTCTCCAGACCATAGGGAATGGGGAACAGTGACCAAAGCAGCGATGGAAAGGCTCCCAAGAATCAGCACAGGCAGAAGAGCCTCCGAACTCCAAGGTCACTCAGTGCCATCCAGCCACCAGAACCTACCAAGTATACAGAAGTGCCTTTCTTGATCCCAGCTGTCGCTGGCACACCCACCTAGAGGAAGGTTTATCGTCCTTTCACCCTTTACCAATTTCACACAGGCCACATGACTGGCTTGCGATGCTTTATTGGCCTTCTAGATGAGGAGGATTCTAGACATGGAGTGACTGGTCTATGGTGGGTTTTGTTGTGCACACCCTGGACTGTATGATGAGAGAGACTGTCCTTTCCTTCCCCTCCCACACTGCTCCAGGGAGTTTGCAAGTGTTTCCAACAGGTCACAATGGCCAACACATTGTCACCTGCTGTGGGTGCAGGGTGGTGGCTCAGCCTCGGCAGATGTGTCACGGGAGGAGCAGTAGGGAGGTGGCATGGCCGGCTTCCATGCAATCAGCGTCGTGCAGCAGTCCTGCCTAAGATTCACAAACACAAGAATCTCGAACCCCTTGGAAGACCAACCTACGCTTGCTTCCCTGCCAATTTCCACAGCTGCACTCTAGCTTTTCTCCCCACCTCCTCCCTCCATCTTGTCTCTGTTTAATCCCACACTCTTCCCAGCATGGAGAATTGAAGGCTTGCCTGAACAGTACATGGGATTTGGGAACAGCATGATCAGTCTTAGCATTACTCGTATCACAGCCCGTGTGCACACACGTGTTCATGTATGAAGGTGGAGGAGAGGTGGGAAAGGACCAATGAATCATTACGGTGCTATGGGTGAATCCTCCTTTTTTAAAATTACTCTGTATCATTCATTTGTGTCTGGCATTTCTGGCCTCTCAGTCTCTTCTAATCTCTTCAGAACCCCAAACAACTTCTGAGCAAACTTGGTCCTTGCTCTTCCATGTCTGATGGTGCCTGCATGAAATGAAGAAGCACCAAGAAAGCTACAATGCACTTGCCAACACCCCGAGTTAATTCCAGTACTCTGAGGTCCCACTCCAAACCCAGGCTGAACTCATTCGTTCATCATGTCTCCCAGTCAGCCAAAACCTCCCTCCCGTCTATGCTGAGAATGGAAAGATACTCCTGTGGCTTTAAGCAAGGTAGACACAGACCCAATCTTGGATGATGAAAGAAAAGAACCCTATTTGGGTGCAAAGTAATCTTCTTTGCCTTTGGGTTTCAAACTGGAAGCAACCAGCTCTTAGAGATCAACCTCTTTTTTCAGCCCAACATCTGAGGACAGTCTGTTTGCTTCTCCTTTGTCACCTCCAAGACTGGGGTATTTTGCCAGGCCAGGGAGTGAACTGGCACAAAAATTGCCACAGGAAAAGATGATTCCTGGCAGCTGATTGCAGAGACATGCTGTGGGACTTCCCAATGCATATTCCAGTCTAGAAAGAGACTTTAACCAAATGTGGACTGTGATGGGTGCTGCTGTATCCCTCTGCTGATATGACTGTCAGATGCCCTTCCTGCCTCCCTTAGCTACAGAAGACTTCTCCTTGTGGTGTCTGAAAAGATCATGTAGAATGTTTGCTCCCTGTACGCATGTAACCTCTTCCAGCCCTGTCCCCTTATTTATGCAAGTAGCACCTTCCTCCCCTACCTCCCTTTCCTCAGTCTCTGTGCCATCCTAGCACCATTAACTCTGCATTAAACATATGGAATAATAAACTTAAAAGTTTCATTTTCACATGTCTGAGGTTTTTTTGACCTCTTCCCTGCCAAGTCTCTGTTTTTTCCCCCCGTACATGTATGATGGGTCACACACACCACCACACAGATCCTGTGCACAGCCTTCCTCTGCCTCTCAGGAAGAGGACACAGGTACATTTCTGACTGGCTGTCCAGACTCCTTCATGGAGATAAAGCTCATCTGTTTACACCTCACCTCCAGTCATTTCTTCCATGAGAAAAGCACTAACACTGACTTTTGTTCTTCATCTGAGATACAGCACATGCAATCAGGAGTACTATTTTGCATGTGCTTCATCCAAAAATTTCTTAGGGTGACTGCTGATGCTCTCTAGGATAGAAGTATGGGGGGGGTTTTTCTCATCTTGGTTCCTCATAACCAGGTAGTAGGTGACATACCTTCAAAAAAAAAACCAAACAAAACTCCCCCACATACACAAATTTGTGTATTTTGGAAGCTGACATTAATTTCTCTCCTTCCCCTACCCTCTTGCCTCCCAAAAGCAAGAACCTAAACACAAATACTCATACACACAGAGCATATTTCAGAACACATGTATACACTTCCTTACTTGTTGAAGACATTCTGTATATAGTCAGATCCTGGGAGGGTATCTGAACTTGTCTGGAAAGAAAAAGTATGTAGCAGGTATCACTCTGCTTAAGAACATCTGTCAGATGTTCTGTCAGATGGCAGAACGGTAAGAGCCCATTACCCACAGACACTCCCAACAATTGATTCCAAAGGGTTTCAATGCTGGTGCATGTGAGCAGATGCAGTGAGTTTCTGTTCACTAAACATTTTATGGGTGAGTAAGCACATCTAGGAACTGTGGAATGTGTTCAAAGCTTTTTAAAAAGCATAGCACAATTTGGATGAAGTTCTGTATAGGGCCAAGAGCATCCACAGCAGGATGGCTTAATTAATCTAATAATAGTGATGCCAGCTAAAGAGTTCCATGCAAAATAGGAGTGACCATTCATGGAGAGGATGAAAAACTTCTACCCCAAATCACAGGCTGTGGGAAGAGCCCCGAAGAGCACTGATGTCAGGAGCATGGGTAGGGACGAAGGGAAGCCATGGCGAAATTAGAGGTATGTAAGTTGATCACAGGAGTGAGAGAAGTGACACAGCATGGATGAACACAAGAGTGGGAAAAGAAAGTTCTTAATCTCACATAGGCAAAATTAGGGAAGTGAGTGGGCTCTGCCTCAACCACTCTGCAGTGAAAGGGGATTCCTCCTCTCATACCAAAGGCTTGTTGCATTTAAGACAGTACTGAGAACACCACTGGTAACAGAGGGGTTAACCACTCCTCCTGCAGCCTAACAGGAGCTGGCCCAGCATCTTTCCCTATCCCTTTAATCGTATCTGATACAGATGCAAGGCTGGGGAGGGGAGTCCAGTAGGGAACAAAGAAGCCATTTAAAAAAAAAATAAAAAAAAGGACAAGAAAACGACCCCGCGCTCCATGGCAGACGCCAAAACGATTGCACAAAGGCACCATTTCAGGGCTGAAATTTCACCGCACCAACGTGATTAAAGGATTCCATGGAGGGTGGGGGGAGAAGGCTGAAGGCCACAGTGCTGCAAATTAACCTTTTCTTGGTAAGGATGGCCTGGAAAAGGAAGCATTTGCGTTCTTCACAGTCAACCCCCTCCATGCACCTGCAAACATCTCCACATCCCCTTTGACCTGTCATTTCACCCAGGGACACATTCAGCTCTTGCATTATTGCCTCTGAAACCAGCCCTTCCTGTGCACACCAAGAGACGAAGGATAGACTGCTGCTTTTACAGGGAACAGTAAGAGAATGACATTCATGGCTGGTTACATGAGCCAAGTTCCCAGGCAGGTTGGTATAAACTCCCTTTGGGACATGGATGCTCACATGCAAGCACTCACCACACATACAGCACAGAAAATGATCACTTTATATATAAATGCAAGCTTTAACACAAACTAGTCAGAAATATTCTTTCTGGGCCAGAGCAAAGAAAAATATAAGGCAGAAAGCATAGGTGAAGCGTACCTTCCTTCTTCTCTTTAAAAATAGAAAACAAAACCCCTGAGAGCTCTTTTTAGTAAGACAATTGAGAAAGATTTGGTGTGTTCTGCCCAAGCTCAGATCTTCCACATGCAGAGAAAAGAACCTTGAAGTACACAGATCAAGAAACCAAAACTAGGTGAATTAATGAAAATCTGCAGCTGGCTGGAAGCCCTTGCAGATTGTAAGGCATCCACCCAACTCTTGACTTGAGCACGTTACCTCCCAGCACATCAGAGGCGAGAGTGCAGGTACCTGAAGGGGACAGATGACTGATCTTTCACCACAATACAGATCAAAGGAACTCTAGGATTTAGCTGCAGTTTTGCCACCGTAAGAACCACCAGGGTATGTTCAACTGAGATGGCTGGTCCATCCCCAGGACCTCAGTTCCACCGTGTGTCAGACAACGGCTACATCAGGAGCAAGTGCAACAACCCACACCTGCCGAGCTGGTGGGACAGCAAGTGGCGGCCGCGCTTCCGGCTGGGGCAGTGCCACTGAAAGGGGATCCCCACTTCTGATAAGCAGCAAGGGAGCAGGGAAACAATAGGTGGCTTGATGAGAGCTGCTCTACGATACTCCTGAGAAGCCCCACAGTCAGCAGTGGCCAAAGAGGAAATTGGGGGTTTCCACAGCAACCTGCCCAGGGCACAAAGGCCCAACTGTCTAGGGGGAAGCAATGGAGGTGTCTCAGCACTCACATTTTAAGAAGGGACAGGGGTGGAAGGCTGGAGTCTCTCTGAAGCCAAAGTACCTGCCAAAGCATTTCTGTACAGCAGGAGTTTAATTGGGTATCCGTCCTATAACCAGGGAGGTGCAGTGCTAGAGGAGGGAGTTACTGCAGACTTTAGCCAAGCTAAAAGACGAAGCCTTCAACAGTGCAAGAAAGCTGAAAAAACAGCATTGCACTTGGCTCCCTAATCTTACCAATATAGTACAGGACACACAGAGAAAAAAAATAATGCCCAAACTTGTGGAGACAGCTAAGAAAATAATTTCTCAGACATATAGGACTGAGATGAAATAGAAAGTCAGACAGAAAAAAACCCAAATATATTTAATTTAAAATAGGGAGATTAAAAATTTATTTACACAAACACTAACCAAAATTAGAAACATCCCTGGAAACACAAAAACAAAAGCAACAGCTGGAATCTGATCAGTCTGTGATAATTAACTCATCCACACCCCAGTCTTCATAGCTCCCATCTGGAAGGTAACGACGGATGATTATGGGGATCTTGCGTGCTCTGAAGGGAAGAGAGAGATGAACAGAAATGTCAGAATCTCCACTGTATCACTTCGGTACATGATGGAAGTGAGGTGCTTGGTGGCTTCAGTAAGCTCATCAGATTTAACTGAGAGCTGTGCAGCACCAGTGATTTGATATTATATAGCAAAGTCCCAACAACCTTCTGTCATTTGCAGATGCAAAGCACTCAGCACCCTCAGACTACAAACACCAAAGACTTCTCAGACCTCTGCTGCTACTGCAGGAATTGAGCCATGTGGTCTGAACCCACTGAGAGACAACACCTAGCATCTAACCCTGATATAGGGGGAAAATATAAATCAAGGGACTTCAAGAACAAATCCACTTTTTGTTTGATGGAAGGTTTTTCACCACATGACACTAAAAAGATAGCAGAATTCTGAGAACTTCCAGGACATGCTGGTATTTACAGAGAAATTTGCATCCTGAGAGCATCAGTTACATTTAAAGAAGGATACATGAAACAGTGACTATTTACATACCAAAACCTGTCACAGCTGGGGTGGAGCACAGCACCTCCTAACAGTGCTTCCAATTAGAGAGCAAGAAAATGCTGAATACAATTTAACTTCATGAACGTAGATTTAAGTCAGCAAAACATAATCAGACAGTCTGGAATCTAGCCAGGGCATCAGGTTTCAACTGTATCAGACTTGAAAAGTAACACAACTTCTTTACATTCAGGGAGGTTGTTCTTCCAGTAGTAAAGTAACTCCCTAATGCCAAAAATTACAACTGAATTTTGGCAGAGAACAGGATGCACCACCCTGACTTCTGACTGAGCTTTCCAGAGCTCAGTCCACAGGCAGTGACCAGAAGCAACTCAGTCTGAGCCTGGAGATCTGACAGGAATATGACCTAAGGAGCTTCTAGCAATGGCAAAGGGAGCTGTAATAGATAAAAAATCTGGAAGAGCAGCTTCAGTGCACTGAGAAACTGGGGAAGCGGGGGGGACAATTTCATTCAAGGACAGGGGCCTCATCAGTAACAGAGTCCAGCTGCTTGAAGGATATCTGCATGTGACCTGGATCATGCAGGAAAACTGTGAGACAGCAGGTAGCTCTGCTGTGGAAAGGTGGGCCTGCAAGTGGTCATCCAAAAGTTGCCTCTGCTGCAGTCAGAAAGGATTTATTTACCTTTGTGTAAGTAGGGGAAAAGCACAAGAAGCCAAATGTGCAAGGGTGCAGGAAACATTCTCACCAGCCTGACTCTTATTTTAATTTTTGCCAGCACTTCACTTGAATACAAGTTTGCTCAGATGGCTGCTTCAAAACAATTCCATTTGGGGAATTAAATGGATTCCCAAAAGATGAGGACCTTGGGATCCCGTCACAGAAATAAAGAACACAGGGAATGTGAAGTAGAAAAGATCCAGAGCACTTATAGGAGCAACTAGGATGGGAGAGAGCAGCTGTGGAGAAACTCCAAGGTGAAAAAAGGAAAAGACAACTATAGTGCTCACTGTTATTGAGGGAAGACGAGGTTGTTTTAGAACAAACTGCTAAATGCTGGGATGAGGAGAGGACTGCTGCCTTGAAATCAGTAAAAAATCTGTGACTTACTTGAGTTCTTTCATGGCAATGAGCAAGGGGTCTGTCTCTCCTTCCAGCTCCACCATCACAGGGGCACACATCCTAGGAAGAACATCAACAACCACTTGAGCAAAAACATAGGGAGGAAGATCTAAAAACACCTGCCTAGCTGTGTCACCTCTATAACAGCCAATTAAGTAGGAAGGTGGGACACCATCCTGGCAAAACTGATTTGCTCTGGCATGAACTTCAAGAAGAAAAATCCTCTAGTTACAGACCAAACTTTTACTTCAATGTTCTTCTTGTCCCATCCCTAGGGCCCTGCTAAACAGCTCGTGCTCAAGGAATGGTGAAATCCACACTCTCTTAGTTGTCCTCTGCTGTACTTTAGTATGTAGAAAAGAATGGTTCTAAAATTAATCCAATGAAAAGGGTGGAATTGCTGTAAAATGAGCAGGCCTCCTACAACTCCAGCGTATCTCTCACATTCTGACTTGCTCACAGCTTCCAGGCCTTGATCAGTGAAAGAGAGGGGCTGGATTTACAGGGCATTTTACATCTCACAAGAAAAAAAATTAATCATTTTGCAAAGGATTGTGACTACACCCATCCACTGGACAGTGGTGGCAAAGAAAGCTCACGTGTTGTGTTATGTGTGGGTGAGGCCATGGGGCTGCTGCTGGTCTGGGTTCAGTACTGAAAGTAAGCAGAAGCAGGTACCAGAGTGTTTTGGATTAAAGGCCTGGCACGGGCCCATGTCACCTCCCCCCATTTTTCCTGCCTTTCACCAACTGAAAGAATATGCACAAAACAGCTTCACAGAACAGCTTGGCTGCCTCTAAATCATGCACAAGAGAAGCCTCATTTTCAAGGTGACTATAACCAAGAGATGAAACCTTTGCCACTGTCTAACAATCTCACTCAAATGATAGTTTTTCAAAAAGCACAACTATTTTTAATATTTATTATTAAAACAAGTCTAAAAAGGCAAATTGATTAAGAGCAGCAGGCCTTGGCAGCACTTGAACTGAGTTCTAAATGTTATTGTCTATTAGAAATAAGGCCTTACTATTGCAAATACTTTAAAACACTTACAGCTCCCCACAATGCAACTGCATTTAAAATGAATTTCAGCTTGGCTTCTCCACTCCCAATTCCTATAGCCCAGTTGTGTTATCAACTGAAGCTGTTTTAAAGCATCTCTCCCTCCAACATTACCTTTTCCAAACCAGTTATGAACTTTCAAGTCCATGCTAGCTCTCTTAAGAAATACAGAAACCTGACCTGTCTTGACCCATTCCCTAGTAATTTAGTCTGTGACCTAGGACAACTCGTTGTGCCTACTAAATGCTCCCTCTTCATGCACAAGCAGCAGTTTCAGGCAAGGAGAGATGCACAGAGACTTCAGGTGCAACTAAGAGCCCCACAGTCCCGTGCATCACTGGTGACCAGAGGGTGACATGCAAGCTCAGAAGTCATACAAAGGATTCAGAAGACCTAGGAATTTTTAAGGGAAGGGGAAAGCACTTATCAGTGTAAAGGGAGGTGCAGCTGCGGCAATGCTGGGGCCAGTGTGGGCAATACTCACGCTATCTGGAGAGCACGAGTGCCCAGGACTCTGGCTCGCTCGTACTTGGTCATGTAGGGGGTCGTGATCCGCTTCTGGTTTGCCTGCTGCCGCTCTCCCGAGGGCAGAATTTCCACGTTCTCCTGTCCCTCCTGGTGGGAACAGACCCGCGCCGCTGCTCAGCCGCAGCCGCCACCGAGGCCCTGAGGTGTGGGGGGAGCCACTGAGGCCTCCCCAGCCACAGCGGCCGCCCAGCCAGGCCGCGACGCGACCCTGCGGGCCCGGCAGATCCTGCCTGGGCCGGCCAGGGCAGCGCCCCACGGGGCACCCACCTCCTCGGCGTTCTCCAGGTCCTCCAGGCCCTCATCCTCCT